AGCCATGAAGCGAGGAGGAAGGAAACCTTCTACTATAGCAACTGCAAAGAGCCAGGCATTGAAGGACTTATGAAGATTGTGAAGGGAGGCTTACCCAGACCACACACAGTTTGAGAAAAGCAATCCCTATTATGACCCATCCAGCAAAAACAAGCACCACAAATGGTCCATGGTGGATGAACAGTTTGCTTGGATGATGAAGTATTTCATTCCCCTGGCTGAGCTCAAAACCCATCACCAAGCTCACAAAGCCATTGGGGGCCCTTTGAAAAATATGGTGCCCTGCCCAGTCAGTGTGGCCCAGTGGTTGAGTGTCAACCTATAAACCAGGAGGTCAGGGTTCGATTCCCCGTCAGGGCACATGCCAAGTTGTGGGCTCGATCCCCAGTGTGGGGCATGCAGGAGGCAGCCAATCAATGATTCTCCCTCATCACTGATGTTTCTATCTCTTCCCTCCCTCTCCTTTCCTCTCTGAAATCAACTGTATTTAAATACACACACACACACACACACACACAGCTCTTCACTCTCCTGGCTCTCTCAAGTTCCACCCCTGATCCAAGAGGAGCTTAATTTTTATTTTGAGCCTGGATGAAAAGGAAACAAGTTAACTGAGATACTTGCTGGAATAGGCAAAGTATTACTCCAAACAAATGAAGCTTTTAGGAGGTGTGAGGAGGCTTGCTTGTTATGTTCAGATGAACATAACACAGGTGGGTTTTCTGTACTTTTCAATAAAACATTAATATTAAAAAAAACACACACACACCTAAGTTTATAGGTTAAGGCATGGATGCAAAGAATCTCTTGTGCTTTAGAGAACACATCTACCAATTTTGGCCTTAGAAAAAAAGGAGACCTTAAGGACAGAGCAATAGGAGCTAACCAGCTAAACCTCGAAGACTTGAATCTTACAGGGACTTTAAGTATAATCTAGTCCAAGGCCCTAGTTTTAAATGTGAGAAACCAAAGCTGGGAGGGAAAAGTGGCTTGCTAGAGAGAATTCTTGCTGAGGTTCGAGTTTGGCAGAAAAGACTAGGATTGATGAATGCTGCACCACACAAGTATCTGGCCCTATCAAGTTCATGCTTGTTTAATCCTCAATCTGGGGGGGGGTACATATTTTAGCTCCATTTAACACAGTGGTTCTCAACTTTCTGGCCCTTTAAATACAGTTCCTCATGTTGTGACCCAACAATAAAATTATTTTCGTTGCTACTTCATAACTGTAATGTTGCTACTGTTATGAATCGTAATGTAAATATCTGATATGCAGGATGGTCTTAGGCGATCCCTGTGAAAGGGTCGTTCGACCGCCAAAGGGGTGGTGACCCACAGGTTGAGAACCGCTGATTTAACAGCTGATGAATTGAGACCAGAGAGGATAAATGACCTGTGTCACACAGCTAACATGGAACAGAGCTGAGCCTCATATACAAGCCTAAGTCCTTTTTATTTCCTATGTTACCTTTAGATGGAAAAAATAATTATGAGGCAGGACACAGAAGTAAGTGGGACTTAGCAGTGATATCAATCCTTCATAAATATGATGTCAGTGCCTGAGAACATCTGGGAAAAGTCAAGGAGAGGACTTCAATAAAGGGCAAAACCTAGTTTAAATTACTAAATGAAGCAACCCCTTAAACCTCCATATCCCAGCTGCCTTCTAAAAATTTAGGAAGTTGAAATAAATGGTCTCAAAATAAATTTGCAAGATAGAACAGGCAAAAGGAATTGAGTAGTGAGTGACCCAGAATCCTAGAGGTCTAAACTCCTTTCCCACTTCCCTGCCCTGACCATTCCCTTCCCTGAGGTTTGGGTAGAGAGCAGCTGCGACAGGGGAACTCTCAGGCATTTGAATATGTCACTGATTTTATGAGTCATTTGACAACTGCCTGTATAATGCTCATCTACTGGCCCCTCCCTGAGTCAGAAGCATGAGAACCCTAATCATTAGGAGACTCTAAAACCCAAAGCCCATTCTCTGGTAGTAGAGTTTGACTGTTTGCTTTAAAAAAAAAAAAAGTTAACAGATTAAAATATAAATATCTGATTACTCCAATTCAGAGTCCAATGGACTTTGAGAGGCCTTTTCTCCAGCTCTGACTTAAGATCTGTTCTCCATGCTCTCATAGAAAGCATTCACTTGCTCAGTTTCAGGTTCCAGTTCAGCTCTGGCTGTCACATTGTATCTACTTACTTTTACAGCAACAGAACTCAATAAATTTGCCTTCTTAGCTAGAGTTAAAGTAACCATCCATATTCAACAGCTTTATTTTAATAAAACTGCTGCCTTGCCTGGCTATGATGGGACCAAGATAAAAGAGGATACTCCCTAATGGAGGAAATACTACAACCTGGCATCACAAATGTGATTTACATGTTTTTGGTCAATGATAAATCTGAATTACATAAGCAAAGAAAAGTAATTTTTTCTGGTAATAATGTCAACAATAGCCCACCTGGGAGAGGGGATGGCATGGGGCCTATCTACCTCAATACCTCACATCCTTTTTCTGGCCCCTCCAAGCCATTATTTACATTTGTTCTTCTAAAAGAGCTATTATTCAAGGTCACTGAGTAGCCTGGCTGAACAAAGAATGTAGGGGTGGTCACTCACTCTTCCAAATTTTCCTTCATTACATCTCACATATTATTACACTGTCTGTGGTACTATACACACGCTCACTAAGAAACCATTGTAGCATCTTATTTGTGAAAGAGAGTGAGGTCAAATGTGGTCTCTATGGATTGAAATTTTCTCTCTCCAGAGAGGTTATTGTTAGGGTGGGCTTGTGTGTGTGTGTGTGTGTGTGTGTGTGTGTGTGTGTTATTTTGTCCCAATAAACTCAATAATCAAAATAATTATATCCCCAAGCAGATCAACATTTAATCAAGAAACATCAGATTTCCCTTTACCTTTAGTTCTGTTACCCAAATTTCATCCCACTGTTCTATCCAAATTCGTTCTAAGGCAGGGGTGGGCAACCCCTGGCACACGTGCCAAACATGGCACGCCAGTAACTCTTGCTGGCACTCGAAACCCTCTCTTATAATCTTCCATTTACAATTTTTTTCTTAATATCGACTTTTTTATTTTTCAGATAAATTCAGTGTAGGTGCATCTTAGATAAATAATTTTACATAACAAGTTATCTTAAAGACCATAGACATGGATTGACGAGAGAGGGGAAGAGCAATTTCTATGCCTCTGCCTTAACTCTCCCTGCCTTTCTAGATCCGACCAGTGTTTTGGTTTCATCCACATACGCTTGTGAATCTTTGTTCTCAGTGATGAATTTGGTTAAGTCTCGTAATAGGAGTAGCCTGACGGATGAAAGTAGTAGCTCGTGCATATCTCTGAAGGTCACGAAATATAAACCTGATGTAAAATCTCTGTCATCAGTGATGCAGCAGCAAAAGTCCCACTGATAATATCAAATGGAGTCATAAAGTTTTCTGTCGGACTATCAGTGTACATGTATACATTAAAAAATAAATGTATTTTTCATCATCATATACTGTGTTTTTGTCGCTCGAATGAATTTTATTATTTCTTTAAGGTTCTTCACATACCTCACCTTAAGAGATATAAAGTAGGCGTAACATGTTCTGAAAAAATTAGGGTTGGCACGCAGAAGAATTTTGAGTCAGAGATTTTGCTGGTTTTGGCACGCACTCACAAAAAGGTTGCCCACCCCTGTTCTAAGGGGAAAATGACGCTATGGGGTTCTATGCAACTTTTTCATTAAACAACTATCTTTTCATGTATCAGAAATTACTTTGTGACTGTTAGCTAAACTGTTAGTTTCAACTACCTAGGAGAGATGCCTCAAACAAATGAACTTTATTTTCAAACAGATTCAAGCAGGTCAGCAAGAAGACTTGCTCACTGAACTGTGATGAACATATGGCTGAGTATTTCCTCACCATCCAGGAGCACCTGATACTAGAAGAAAGCCCCATCCCTCCACCCACTCACCTAGCCTGTTTGCTCAGAGTGAAGGAGAACTTAGGAGATAGACTTCCTGAGAAGGCAGTATTTGGGTGGTGTGGGATAGAAAAATATGAAAGGGACAGAAGAATCTAAGCCTCTCCATGAAGAAGGGAAAGAGAAAGAATATTACAGAACAGATTAAGATCAGAGAACAAATACAGCATAGGAAATATAATCAGTAATATTGTAATAACTGATGGTGCCAGCTGAGTACTGGAAATATCAGGGGGAACACTGTAAAGTATATGATTGTCTAAACACTATGCTGTATGCCTGAAAGTAATACAAAATAATATTGGAAGTAAACTGCAATTGAAAAAAAAATTTTAATTAAAAAAGATCAGAGAACTAAACCAATCAATGCCTTCAGGATATACAAAAGACCCCTCCAGCTGGTCTGAAGAAAGGGCACCTCGTGCCTCCGGGAGGGAGGATAAGTATAAGGAACAGAAACATACTGGTATTATCTGCCCTCTACTTCCATACCCTGCATTAGATCAGTCTGAACATGGCTTTGCTCCCATTAGAGTTGATGTGGGTCCTGGAGATAGTGGTCAGGCCTATCCCGGCCACCCTCGCCCAACCAGAGAACACATCCATGACAAACCCAAATTCCTAATTCTTGACCTATTTTGAGTCACCCCACATTTTGTCACTCAAGAATAGAACAAAATTTGTTTTAAAAAAAAAAAAGCCTGTATTTTTAATTTAAGAAATAAGTAAAAGTTCACAGGCAATCCAGAACAGGTGCCAGGAGTCTGCTCTAAACAATCACCATACTTGCTGCAGAAGTTCAGGTTCCACACAATCACTTGGGCCAGTGCTTCCTGAGATGCTCTTTCAGCTGAGGAATGGAAGGCAGCAGCTGCTGGCACTCATGACAACGCAGGGGCAGCTTCAAGAGCTCTGGCATACCATCTCGGACAGTCACTCTGCCAGCCTCTTGTATCATCTTGATCACAGCTGCAAGCAAGGAAAAAAAGTTCAGAGCCCAGATACTCTGGAAAGCCAATACAAAGAAAAAAAAATGTGACCCCAAATAAATATATGCCAGGTATCTTGTAAATTTGAGGTTAGACTCATTGCTGGGGAAAGGGGCTTGATCAAATTCTCTATCTGAGCAACCTATTTTGGATATTACATTCCGTTGAGATACATTCTAAGCAATCCCTGTTACTATGTCAGAGCCTTATACAGTGCTTACCACTGATTGACCCTTGGTCGATGGCAGCTGTCACTGTTAATCCCCCAGCATACTGAAGTTCCACAGAATATACACTGGGAAATGTTCCTCTGCACACACGCCCTTCCCCTGTTAATTAACTACTCCTAACACAAGGTAGACCCATGTTCCTGCTCGGCAGAAGAGACATAGAACTGTTCAGAGCTTTCATATCTATGATCTCCAATAATTCTCAGAACAATTTTAAGTACCCTGGTATTATAATAAAACACCTTTCTGACCCCGATATAACAGCTTTCTAGGTCCCCAAAGATGGCTGCTCACAGCAAAGTGACAATCCCACTACAATTCAAATAATCCAGTTTCTTTTAGTGGGGCCCTCTTTATAGGGAATATAAAGTTAAATAGGGGTTTTTGAGACCAGATTGTTATTTAGGGAAATAACTGAGTCAAGTATAAGAACAGCTGAGAAAATGAAACAATTGTGAAAACCAAAGAATACTGTTTACCTTGAGATTCTAGGAAGTATTCTGTATTAAAAGAATTCCAATGTTTTTTGTTTTTAAGGCACGGAGAATCAAAATCCTGGCTGATCACATGAAGGTGTACATGGCTAGTTGAGAGAGGGGGAGGGAAATAGACGATTAAATCCATGAAAGACTATGGTTAAATTAAAAGGACAAAGAGTAAAAGTATGGGTATGTAAAATATTGACTGTTTCCATTTAATTCAATTCATTCATTCACTTAAGAATATTTGCCCTAACCGGTTTGGCTCAGTGGATAGAGTGTCAGCCTACGGACTGAAAGGTCCCAGGTTCGATTCCGGCCAGGGGCATGTACCTTGGTTGCAGGCACATACCCAGTAGGGAGTGTGCAAGAGGCAGCTGATCGATGTTTTTCTCCCATCGATGTTTCTAACTCTCTATCCCTCTCCCTTCCTCTCTGTAAAAAAATCAATAAAATATATTTTTTTAAGAATATTTAATGCTCATTATCTACCTACTAGGACCACACACTGTTCTAGCACTGGGAATTTAGCAGTGAACAAAATGGGAAAGACCTCTGTCCTTACAGAAATTATATTATCATGAGGGGAGACAAATAAAGTATAAGTAAACCAATAAACAAGAAGATTCAAATAACATTGCTTAGAAAATAATAAAACAGAGAAATGTGATAGAGAGTGCCAAGGGGGTAGAGGCTGCCTCTTTAACTAGCTTAGGGTGTTCAGGGAAGGTCTCTCCCAGGCAGTGATTGAGCTGAGAAAGCAGTCAGGTAAGCTAAGAATTTTGGGGGAAAGAGTATTTCAGAGAGCGGGGAGGCTAAGTGCAAAAGGCCCTGAGATGAGAAAGAGCTTAGTACAACCAAGGAACAGAAAGGTAATATGGCCAGGCCCTAACTGGTTTGGCTCAATGGATAGAACGTCGGCCTGTGGACTCAAGGGTCCCAGGTTCGATTCCGGTCAAGGGCATGTACCTTGGTTGCAGGCACATACCCAGTAGGGAGTGTGCAAGAGGCAGCTGATCGATGTTTCTCTCTCATCGATGTTTCTAACTCTCTATCCCTTTCCCTTCCTTTCTGTAAAAAATCAATAAAATATTTTTTTTTTTTTTTTAAAAAAGAACTGTATACAGCCCTGGACAGGTAGCTCAGTTGGTTAGAGTGTCATCCCGATACACCAAGGTTGCAGGTTCAATCCCCAGTGAGAACACATAAAAAATCGACCAATGAAAGCATAAATAAGTGAAACAACAAATCAATGTTTCTTTCTTTCTCTCTCTCTCCCCCACTTCCCTTCTCTAAAATCAATTTTTTAAATAAGAACTGTATACAAATACTGTGCTATTGTGAGTAAAAGTATTTCTTACAAGGGTATGGAGTAGCAATTCTGAAACTATTTTATATGTACAAAGTTGACCCTTAAACAATACAGGGGTTAGAGGTGCTGAGCTCCATGCAGTTGAAAATCTGTAACTTTTTTTTTTTTAACTGATTTCAGAGAGGAAGGGAGAGGAAAAGATAGATAGAAATATCAATGATGAGAGAGAATCACTGATCGGCTGCCTCCTGCATGCCCCCCACTGGGGATCAAGCACACAACCGGGGCATGTGTCCTGACTGGGAATCAAACCTTAACCTCCTGGTTCATAGGTCGATGCTCAACCACTGAGGTATACCAGCTGGGCAAAAATGTTTAACTTCTGACTCCCCAAAAGACTAACTACTACTAGCCTACTGCTAAACAGAAGACTTACCAATAACATAAATAGTCAATTGACATATATTTTGTATGCTCTATGTATTATATACAGTATTCTTACAATGAAGTCAGCTAGAAAAATGTTAAGAAAATCATAAGGAAAATACGTTTACAGTACTGCACGTATTTATTTTTTAGAAATACGCATATAAGTGGACCAGCACAATTCAAACCCGTGTTGTTCAAGGGTCAACTGTACTAGGATTGAACAAGTAAGTAAATTTAGTGTAGCTAATGAGAGCCAAATTTCTCACTGTTGGAGAAAGAAGTTACAATAACGGAAATAAGAAGACAAGAATGAACCTTGTGGGGTTGGACTGGAATGAGAGGTATCACTATGAATTATGGTTTTCATATACACATACAGGTAAATAAATAGAGAGGTATGTGTTACCAGTGCAGGTTAGGATTCATGCATTTATTTCCTAGCTCTATCTACTGAGAGGATCTAGGAGCAAAAACACCCTAGGATCAACATTACAGAAATCTAGTACCCAAGTCTTGGTTTATAAATATCCAATAAAAGGAACAAGGGCTCTTGGCAGAAGTGGCTCATTCCAGGGCTATAATGAGCCTGGAACATCTTATTCCAGAAAATAAGTGCTCAAAACATGTTGGAGGTATGTCAAAGTGCTACAGGGGCCAGCCAAAAGGAGCGTCCAATGATCAAAGCTGGAATGACTTGAGCAACAAAATAAATAATGATAGACTGAGTTAAAACTTATAGAATAAAATAAATATCCATGAATCTGTACTGATAATTGAATAAATATATAATTGGGGCAGGGATTGGGGGGGCGCTCTTCCACATGGAAGAAATCTAATTAATAAATTAGAAGGGCCCTAGCCGGTTGCTCAGGTGTTAGAGTGCCAGTCCTTGGACTGAAGGGTCTCGTGTTCGATTCCAGTCAAGGGCAGTACCTCAGTTGCAGGCTCCATCCCCGGCCCTGGTCAGGGCACATGTGGGAGGCAACCAATCGATGTGTCTCTCTCACATAGATGTTTCTCTCTCTGTGTCTCTCCCCCTCCCTTCCACTCTCTTTAAAAATCAATAGAAAAATATTCTTGGGTGAGTATTAATAAAACACAAAAAATAAATTAGAAGGAATGAGGGAAACATAAAGTCACCATTAGGTAAACAACATAGTAATAACTATTGCAGGCCAGATCCACCAATAGAGACGCTAAAAGTACTAGGCAAAAGTTTGAACAGAAATAGGATAGTAGCATAGTCTCAAAATATTGAATAGTAACTTTGAGTAGAGAAACCTGGCAGACACCACCTTAACAAAGTAATCAAGGTTAACATCATGAGTAATAAACCATCTTGACATCATGCACTCCTTGATATGAGGCACTGAAATGGACACATCACTTCTGTGGCATGTTGGCAAAAAAAGAAAAAAGGATAATCTCAATCTAATTATGAAAAATCACCAGACAAACCCAAACTGAGAGATATCCTATAAGATAACTAGCCAGTACTCATCAAAAGTGTCAAGGTCATGAAAACCAGAAAAGGCCATAACCGGTTTGGCTCAGTGGATAGAGCGTCGGCCTGCGGACTCAAGGATCCCAGATTCGATTCTGGTCAAGGGCATGTACCTTGGTTGTGGGCACATACCCCATAGGGGGTGTGCAGGAGGCAGCTGATCGATGTTTCTCTCTCATCGATGTTTCTAACTCTCTATTCCTCTCCCTTCCTCTCTAAAAAATCAATAAAATATATTAAAAAAAGAAAACCAGAAAAGGAAGAGGAAGTATCACAGATTAGGGGAGACTAAGGAAAGATAATAAATTCAATTGCAGGATCTTGGATCAAATCCTGGAGCAGAAAAGGATTTAAGAAAAATGGGTGAAATTCAAATAAGGTCTACAGTTTAATTAGTGGTGATGTTATGAAAGATTTTTGTCCTGCTTCACACTTTCTTTTTTTATATTTTCTAAATTTAAAATATATTAATTTTACAATAGACAAAATTATTGTTACCTTTTCCTTTCTATAAACTTTATTCAAAATTATGTCATAAAGAGTGGTCATAAAAGGATATGTAAGTGGCAACTTTACTTACTGCTCACTTTTTCCCACCCACACCTGCCACAGCTCTTGCTTTTAGAATTCTCCTTAGCACAACGGTATTCATTATATGAAAAAGGCACGGACACCATGGTTACTATGTGAAAAGGGCTCTTTAATCATTAGCTGTTAGTCATAGGCTCTGAAGCATTAGGGAAATAGGACTATGGGTGACATGCAAGAATCTCAAAATCATTATGCTGACCAAAGAAAGCCAGAATGAAAAAGAATACACATTACATGGTTCCATTTACATGAGAACAGACAAAACCAATTATGCTGAAAGAAATTATAACAATGCTTGCGGAGGATTAACTGTAAAGAGCACAAAGGTGCTTCCTGGGATGAGATGATAGAAATGTTCTGTATCTTGATCAGAGTGATAGTTGCATGGCATGTACATGTCAAAACTAATCAAACTATAAATCTTATTATGCATTTTATTCTAGATACGTTATGCGTCCTTTTAAAAGAAAGAGTATTGATGGGGAGAAATATGTGGCACAAAAATTTCATTAGGTTAAAGTAGCCAGTAATCTAAGTCATAATTACTCATCCAAAAAAAAAAACGTGAAAAATAATGGGTGTTTATTAAAAATAGCCTTAAGATATTCTAGCCGGCTTGGCTCAGTGGACAGAGCGTCAGCCTGAGGACTCAAGGGTCCCAGGTTCGATTCCGGTCGAGGGCATGTACCTTGGTTGCGGGCACATACCAGTAGGGAGTGTGCAGGAGGCAGCTGATCGGTGTTTCTCTCTCATCCATGTTTCTAATTCTCTATCCCTCTCCCTTCTTCTCTTTAAAAAATCAATAAAATATATTTTTTTAAAAAAAGATTCTGATACATGGTACAACACGGATGAACTTTGAAAAATTACCTTAAGTGAAATAAGCCAGTCACAAAAAGACAGATCCTATATAATTCCACTTATATGAGGTACCTAAAGTAGTTAAATTCATAGAGACAGAAAGTAAATGGGGATTTTGAGGGGTTGAGGGAGGAAGGAAGATGGTAGTGTGGGAAGAAAGTTCTAGAAATAGATAGTGGTGATGGTTGCACAATGTAAATGTACTTAATGCCATTAAACTGGACACTTGAAAATGGTTAAAGTGGTAAATTTTATGCTATATATATTTTATTGAACAAAAAAAAGCAATAAAATAACTCAAAAAACCCAAGATAAAACTCTGAAATCCATTACTCTGCTTATCTCGTTTAGGTGTAAAGACCTGTGGAGCACTGCCTTGGATGCATTCTTTGAAAAGAATCAATCATTCCTTTCTCAATCCTTCTGGGTATGAGCCAAAAGAAAACCAGCTCTGCACTTTTCTCTCATTTTATCTTACATCTTAGATCTACTAAGCTGTTAGGACAGAAGTCAGTGATGTTTGTGTCCTTCAGAGCAATGGTCCTTAATCACTTAGGAGTTTCTGAACAGTCACTGACTACAATTCTTTAATTCTTCATCCCGGTGTAATAAAGCTACTTCATCTAGTTCATAAATTAGGTCCTCAGAGGTTTACACTTTGAGAGGAACAAAAAAAAAAGTATGTAATTGAATTACAAGCAGAAGTAGGAACTCAAGGCTTACAGAAAAGTCAGACAGAACAAGTTTCAGCTCACCTGCCTTGGAAACCCCCCTGGGCCTTGCAGCTATCAGCACACTCAGCAGACCCAGGCTGCATCCATCTCCACCTACACATAATCAGAATGCACCAGCACTCCCCACAGGGCTTACCTCATGCTGGGAATGGCGTGGTAGCCCAATCGGAAGCGGAGTTTGCTGGGCCCAGCAGCATCTGCAATCACCTTTTCCCCCACAGCATGCATATGTTTGAGGAGCTCAAGATGTTCCCTGGTCACAGCCTTCAGACTGGAAATTGAGGCCCATGGTAAGACCAGCCAGTGGTGACGAGCCTTGGGGTATTTATCCTTAATCACCACCACCTGCTCATCTTTGTAAACCTAGAAGAGGGGCAAAGGAGAAGGAAACAGACATTTTCCATGCATCTTCTGTGCCAGGTGCTGTTATATTCATTAACTCACTTAATCCCACTACAATCGTCTGTAAAAGTTTTTAGTATCCCAATTTTGACAGATGAAAGCACAGAGACTCAGATAAGCTGAGTGTCTTATGCAAAGTCACAGTTACAAAGCAGGAAACTAGGATTGCAACCCAACTTCAGTCTGTGTTTTAATCACTACACTACACAGAAGATGCACAGTATGAAGTACAGTAGTTGCTAAGGATCTGATGTGAGATCCATCCAGGCATCAATTAAATGCTCCCTTCTCCACTCTACCACAGCAGACCATATGACATCTGCCCGTGTGTTCCAAGACACCCTATCAGATCTGGCCCCTTGTCATCCCAGTAGATAATTTAAGAACTCAAAGGCCCCTCCTAGGGTGATACCGGACTATTAATCCCAGGATAAGCCAGTAACCACAGTCGTTATTATCTGATGCTCCCTTGAAAGGGACCACAGTGAGGTTAACTCAACTTCCCTTAATAGTATGCAGAAGTTTAAGAGGAACAAGGCAGAGGGGATATTCATTTGAAGAACTTAGTTTCTCTCCAAAGAATTTCAGGTGCTAACTTATTGGCAATGGGAAAAGCTACATGTTCTCACAAATAGCCCAATAAAACAAATCTCATTTGAAACACTGATCGCCTTTGATTTCATTTATAGTTATAAACTCTGCCGATTATTTCAATGCCAAAATTTTATTCTGACCTGCATTTTGGGATCCTGCATAGAAATCTTCAAGCCTTGACTCCAGTGGCCCAATGATTCCTAAAACAATAAAGAGCAATGAAAATCTCAAATGCCAAAAAAAAAAAAAAAATTAGTTAACACTGAATGTCAGCAAAATCCAACCAAACTTGGAAGTAAAGTTAATTTTTAAGAATTAAACTATATCCCCTTTATATCAATCTTTTGCCTTTGTAATCATAAGCTATCCCCATTTCCTCCCTATATCCAGAGCTACATGTCTAGACAGAGGCTGGAAATGCCAGAGTATGAACCACATCTTTGTCCTCTCCCACTCCATCTAAGCCTGACTAGGTCTCCACTTTGACATCAGGATGTGAATCACATGATCTATGAAAAGTGTTCCAATGCTACCTTCTAGAAATACAAATGACTGACACACATTTTAGTAGCTCAGTGTTAAGTATATTCCATTATCGCCCTACCTTCAAGTGGCTTACCTCAGGACTGCAAGAGAAAAGCACATAAAGGGACATTCACCCAAGTGACTGGTGACACAAACAAGTGACTCTTTCATCTTGGTTAATAGCCCCTATCATGGTTAATAACCCCTCACGTGTGCCTGGCTTTAGAGTGTACAAAACATTTAAGCCGTCATTATATCATTTAATCTCCACATCATCTATCAAGCAAAATACCCTCACCTTTTTGGTAGACTCATCTGTCCCCTTGTTTGGGGGCACAGAGCGTTGGCTAGGGTCACTCCCAGGTACCAGTCCTGTACTGGGCTCAGCTTCCTGGGCAGCATCCCTTTCTAAGGAATCGCTGTTGCCTGACCTCTTTCTCTTCCTGTGTGTTTCCAGGCCAGGGCTCTTTGCCTCTTCCTCAAACTCTACAATATATGGATAAAGTTCATTCACAATGTGGAGAACCTGGCCAGGCTGCAGCTTCACCTCTTGGTCCTTCCCAATTATGACTGAGTCAATGCTGCTGGGATTGACCCCTACCTATGAAATAATCAGAAGGTAATTACAAAAAAGCAACAATCCCATCACTAATATAGTCACTGTTATGTTAACCACTTACTATGTGCCAGGAACTATGCTTAATGTTCACTTATATTACTCCATCACTTCCACACATGACAGAGAAGACTTACTGGCTGGCACTGACACTCTAAAGTCAACAGCATAAGAAAATCGTCAAGTATAAAATGGAAATTCAAGTCACAAACAGACATACCTGCTTTACCTTGACATATCCTTTGTTACACTCTGCTTTCAACTGCACTGAAAGAGATTGAAAAAAGTCAAACCCAAATGCCATGAAGAACCAGGCACTTGCTCCTATTCTCTCTACAGGACAATGAAGCCTCATGAAGGCAACTTGACATGGGTTTCCTCAAAGGCCTATGAGCAAAACTGCCCATTATACAGGTGACTGGGGCTCCAAATCCTTCCATAAAATGTCCAACAGGTCATCATAAATTAAAATTTGATTTTCTTCACTCAGAGAATATTAGGGTGATGGGACTATCTGTTTATTCTCTGATATTTGTGGAATCAAACACTTAAAAATAAAAAAAGTCCAACAGTGTACATACTCCCTTAGCTACTGTTAATATCCCTCAGAGGCAGCTTCACTAAGTCCCCACAAGTCTCCCTATTCCAGAGCCCTTGGCCACCTGGGATCACAGACTCTGCAATCAGGGAAGGGGACCCACTTCTCTTACAAGCTCTTCACTCAAGATTAAATCAGGCTCCCGCTATTACATAAAACTATCAGATGCCTTTACCAGAGAAAGGGGCAAATGATACATTCCTGGAAAACAGAAGTTCAGCTGGCCTTGGGTAGGAGGAGTGTAGAGAATAGTCTAGAACAGCGGTTCTCAACCTGTGGGTCGCGACCCCTTTTGGCAGTCGAACGACCCTTTCACAGGGATCGCCTAAGACCATCCTGCATATCAGATATTTACATTACGATTCATAACAGTAGCAACATTACAGTTATGAAGTAGCAACGAAAATAATTTTATGGTTGGGTCACAACATGAAAAACTGTATTTAAAGGGCCAGAGGTTGAGAACCACTGGTCTAGAAAGAGGAACAGTCAGCACAATCTGAGCATGTGTGGGAAGAAGTAACATTTATCTCTCATGCTCAGGTAAGTGAGACAGGGAACAAAGAGGAGAGACACCACAGCTGCTCTCCAGAGAGGACAGGCAGAGGACAGGCGGACACACACCTATTGTGACCAGGGGGACAGAGAGTGAGAAGCAGCATCTGCTTCTGTATCTCGGGCCTAGCCAGGTCAAGCATGACTTTTTTTCACCCATTTAGATTAACTCATGTGGCAAAACCAATAATCAGTGCTGCAACTCCAAGCCTCGGGAAACCCTGCTATGGGGAACGTATTGCATGGGAGGCCTGGTAGCAATGAGCATGTCCAGAAGTTTACGGGCAAAAAAATGAGGTATATGGTAAGGCTTTTTCCTAAGGACTTTCATTTCATTAAATCCCAGGGATGATACTTCAAGAGCTAGATACTATCATCTTATAAAGATACCACCCTCTGGGAAAGATAGAGGTGGGGAGGTAGATGGGGGAGATTAACTGGGAAACTTATACACATATATGCATAACCTATGGACACAGACAATGGTGTGGTGAATGCCTGGGAAGGGTGGGTGCTGGGTAGAGGGGGTCAGTGAAGAAAAAAACAAAGGGGACATCTGTAATACTTTCAACAATAAAGATAAATTTTTTTTTTTTAATATATTTTATTGATTTTTTACAGAGAGGAAGGGAGAGAGATAGAGAGTTAGAAACATCGATGAGAGAGAAACATCGACCAGCTGCCTCCTGCACATCTCCTACTGGGGATGTGCCCGCAACCCAGGTATATGCCCTTGACCGGAATCGAACCTGGGACCTTTCAGTCCGCAGGCCGACGCTCTATCCACTGAGCCAAACTGGTTTTGGCAATAAAGATAAATTTTTAAAATAAATTTAAAAAGCACCCTCTGTATGAGGCAATATGTAAAGGATGGAACCATCCCATCACTTCTCAGACACAGTTTCAGCCTGGAGATCCTAGAATTCAACTGTCTCACTCCCAGCTCGGACCCTTCCTAGACAAAGCAGGGTACAGAACTCCACCACCAATAGTAACAGGAAGGACCCGTCTGTTGCCAACACTGAATAGTTACTGCTTTCGGAGGGTGGAATCAGGAGTGAATGGGGCCTGGTGTTGGCTAAAAGAGCCCTGTTCCTGAGTTTTGTTTATGGCAGACGAAAGGTTTTCCATCATGACCACCCAGAAAATGCGTACCTTTGGTTATCACTACTCTAAGGAACCGAGCATGGTGCTCTCCACATTCTTGTGACCAGTTAGTTACCTTGCTGTCGAGAACATTTCTTATCAGTGATCTTGGTCTCTGGGCCACGCCCAACCACCACTGCTTCCAAATGTGGAAGTTTGATTCGCTGGTGCCGGTTGTCCTGTCTCACCAACCAGCACACCCGCATCATTACTCTGAGAGACAAAACAGAAGAGAATCATGGAAAAACTAGCACAAGTCCTCCAGAGCCACACCCCAGATACCACACATGCCATATACCATCTGTTCATCTTGAGGCAAGTGACTTCACCTCCCCAGCCTCAATTTCCTCACATGTAAAATGTGATAATGACAGGATTCATAAAGCTGTTGTGAGAATTAACTAAGAAAATGTGGGTCAAGTATTCACCTCTGTGCCTGAATCATACCAAGCAATCAAATATTTGTTATATTTATTGATATACTTTATGTGCTGGTCATTAGGCAACAGGTTGAGGATCAAAGAATGATTAAACATTGTCCTTATTCTTCTGGGGCCTGGAGTACAGTGGGACAGATAGACTCATATACCATTTATTAAAATATAATGTGATAAGCATTGTAAGAAGGAAGTAACCAAATAAGGCATTAGCTCAGGCAAAGGAATGACTGACTCTTGCAGAGAGTATCAAAAAAGACTTTATGTATAATGGGTTTTAAAGGACCGAAAAGGAGTTTGCCTGGCAGAAAACTAAGAACATAAAAACAGAAGATATTCTTCAGTCTACAGGCACTTTTTGTGTATTTGAAGGTTTCCCTTCTTTAACTGTCATTAACATACTGATGTTAGAATGATGTTTTGCTGCCATCTGCCAGAAGACTGTCATAATAAATTGCAAACATGCAATTTCCAAAGTATGACTGCAGCACCTTTGTGCAATACACAACCTGCACAATAGTGGAGGTGCTGGCATTCTTTTGAAAAACAACCCTTAAGACCATGTAGAGTTTCAGCAGAAGAAAAAGAGACAAGAAATTCTGCCTGAGCAAAGGCAGAACAAAGGGGATGGAGAGGAAGAACAGCCAGAAGAAATCATGAAGGTAGACTTAATTACTGACTGCATTTGGGGAATGACAAAGGAGGAAAGGGAGATAACCAGGATTCCTAATTTGGAAATATCCATTAACCAAAAGGAAGAATATACAAAGAGACATAATTTGGGGATAAGCAGTAGGTAAAGAAGAGATGATTTAAGATTAAAACACAATTAGATTAAGTTGCCTATGAAAGATCCAAGGGTCAAGGTGGGATGGATGGATACAGATGATAATTAAATCTCCTTGTATATAGACTGCATCACTGTCCATCCATTCAGAAAATTTGGAGGAAGGCTCTTTGGAGATCATTGCCCTGGGTTAGGCCTGGTCTTCAGCATACTTTTCTTCTATAGCCCCTGGTGTTCAGCATGCTTTTATCAAGTGCATACTATGTGCTAGGCATTTGCTAAATATCTTACTTATATCATCTCATTTAATCTTCACAACAACTCTCATTGCAAGGAAGCAAAAATTTAAGGCTTAGAGAAGATAAGTAATGTGTTCAAGTCATACAGCCAATGTGTGCCAGAGACAGGATTTGAATTAATTCCAAAGAACAGGCTCTTTTTTTAAAATATATTTTTTATTGATTTCAGAGAGGGAGAGAGATAGATAGAAACATCAATGATGAGAGAGAATCACTGATCGGCTGCCTTATGCACACCCCCTACTGGGGATCGAGCTCACAACCCGGGTATATGCCCTTGACCGGAATCAAACCAGGGACCCTTCCGTTCACATGCCAACACTCTATCCACTGAGCCAAACCATCTAGGGCTAAAGAACAGGTTCTTAATCTGCACCATATACCTTTTGTCTTCACTTATTTGATCATTCAGTCAAAATTACTGCATGCCCACTATGTTCCTTGTGCCAAACTAGTGCTGGGAGTAAAGACATAATACATTTCACTTGCATTGTATGATACAGGTATAATACATCATACCTGCCGTCACAAAGATAGGGCACAAAGGTGAAGTTCCCAACCCAGAGTTGGAGAAAGGTGTCAAGAAAGGTTTCCTATAGGAGTTGAGCCTACAATGAGTCCTATATATATAAAAACCTGGTTAATTAGGTGAAAGGGAAGAGCCTAACTAAGTGAGGAGAAGTGGAGAAAGAGCCTGGCTGGTGTGGCTTGGTGGTTGAGCTTCGACCTATGAACCAGGTCACAGTTCGATTCCTGGTCAGAGCACATGCCCAAGTTTTGGGTTCAATCCCCAGTAGGGGGCATGCATGAGGCAGATCAAGGATTCTCTCTCATCATTGTTTCTATCTCTCTCTACCTTCCTCTCTGAAATCAATAAAAAGATATTTTTTTTAAAAAAAGAAAGAAATCTGGGAGAAGACTCCAATAAAAGTGAACAGCAAGGGCAAGTGCACAAAGGAACAGCACTGTACATATGAAGAAGCAGTTCAGTGTTGCTGCAACCCAAAGTATGAGGCAGAAAAGAGGCTGAAGATTCAAGCAGGTCCAAATGAAGCAGGGCCCTGGATGACTGGCTGAGAAGCTCATATTTTAGAAGTTCCAATGAATTTTGCAATTCAGTAAACAATAAGTATGTGCTGAAAGAGCAAACAGATGAAAGAACAGAAAGCTCTTTAAAGATTATTAAGCAGGTCTTTGACACAGATTTGTTTTCAAAGATCATTTGGGGGAGGAGGTAGGTAGTGTGGACAAAAGATATGTGGAGAACAGAACTAGAGGCAGGGAAACCAGTTAGAAGCCCATTGTACTTCAGGTGAGAGATGATGAGGCCTGAAGTAGGACAATGGAGAGATAGAGTAGAGAGTACAGACTTGAGAAACATTTAGGGGGTAAAATCATTAGGATTTAGTGATGGGTGTGATAAAGTAAGTTCAGGGAAGATGCCGAGTTCAGTTTTGGGCCTCTGAATTTGAACTGCCTGTGGGAGTTGCAGGCAGAGCTGTCCAGCAGGGTAGTCAGAAGTGAGGGTGAAACTCAGAAAAGAGTCTAATATGACAACTTCTATTTGAAAGCATGTAGGGAGTTAAAACCAAGCCAGTTGATGTGTTCACTCAGGCATTAGGTACAGAATGAAAAGAACAGCCTGGCCAGCATGGCTCAAGTGGTTGAGTGTCGACCTATGAACCAGGGAGGTCATGGTTCGACTCCCAGTCAGGGCACATGCCTAGGTTGGGGGCTCGATCCCCAGTAGGGAGCATGCAGTAGGCAGCCGATCAATGATTCTCTCTCATTACTTATGTTTCTATCTCTCTCCATCTCTCCTTTTCTCTCTGAAATCAATAAAAATATTTTTTTTAAAAGTACAGCGGGCCAAAGTGGCAAGCATTGGAAATACCCAACGTTTTGGGTGGAGGAAAAAAGACTATCCACAGGAGAAATGACTGGTGAGAGAGGAACATGGAGAAACAGCTAGAATATAAGCTCCTTAAGGAAAGGCACATTGTTTTGCTCATCTCTATATCACAATAAATGTTCACTGAATAAACCAACTGAGTGTATTATGGGAGTGAGCCCTAGCCAGTTTAGCATCAGCCTGTGGACTGAAGGGTCCCAGGTTCAATTCCAGTCAAGGGCATGTACCTAGGTTGCAAGCTCGATCCCTGGCCCTGGTCAGGACGCGTGTGGGAGGCAACCAATCAGTGTGTCTCTCTCACATCAAGGTTTCACTCTCTCTCTCTGTCCCCCTCTCTTCCACTCTCTCTAAAAAATCAATGGAGCCCTGACCGGTTTGGCTCAGTGGATATGGCGTCGGCCTGCGGACTGAAGGGTCCCAGGTTCGATTCCGGTCAAGGGCATGTACCTTGGTTGCGGGCATATCCCTAGTGGGGGGTGTGCAGGAGGCAGCTGATCGATGTTTCTCTCTCATAGATGTTTCTAACTCTCTATCCCTCTCCCTTCTTCTCTGAAAAAAATCAATAAAATATATTTTAAAAAATCAATGGAAAAATATCCTCGGGTGAGGATTAACAAAAATAAAAATGGGAGTGAGAGGTATCAAGTCTCAAAAGCAGCAAGGGAATCAAGTGATGATTTTTAAATGACTATCTGGTTTGAGGAACAATCACTGGTGACCTTAGGGTAAGATTTCAGGGAATAATAGGTCTGAAAGCAGACTGCAGAAGGGAATGGGAGTTGAGAAAATGGAGACAGAATTTAGAATACCCTTTAAAACAGTTTGGATAAGAAGGGGGAAGAGTCACTGGATGACAGCTAAAGGAAGATGATCACCAAGAACTTTTTTCTTTCTGGCTTGCATAGTGGAAGTGGGGATAAGAGATGGCCAGGGTCCTGAGAAACCTGACCTTGTTTATACATGACTGGGACAGGGGCAGAAAGGACAAATGAAAACAAGCTCTCATAGGTGAGAGTATGAAAGATCAGGAACACAGGTAAAGGGATTTGCTTTGATCAGAGGATACAGCTCATCCTCATCCTCTGAGGCTTAAGATCAACATGAGTATAAATCTAAATGGTTTTGTAAACAGGAAAGCAAAAGCAGAAATGTGAGGAAAGGCACTTCTGATGACCTCAATTTTCTCCATAAAATAGTAGATAACAACAGAGTGAGGTGCTCGGGCACTTGACGAACAGTTGAACAAAATCAGCATGGAATAGTGGGCAACATCCAGGCCTCTAAAGTCCAAATGCTGGAGTTCAAATCGTGGCGCCACAACCTCCTCACTGTGTGACTTGAGGTCAGTTATTTGACGTCAGCCTTTATTTCTTCGGCTGTAAAACAGTATTAATAACTGCTCTACACTACACGGGCTAAATGAGTTAGTATGTAAAGATCCGTGTCTGGCCAAAAGTAAGCATTATCACTCTTGTTAATAGTACGGGCAGGATGGAAGCAGGAGCTCAGGGCCATCGACAGCAGACCGTGCAGCTAACGTGAAAAGGCACCAATCTGCACTGTCTCCCCCCATGGAGAGGCCTGTCCCGTGTTCTAACGATCCCCAATACGTCAAATGCCCAGAAGGCCCCAAACCTGGGCCACATTATTCCCAATGAAATTAGACCCCCGCTGTGTGGAACGGCCATCGCTGGTCCGCGTGGGAATAGCCTTGCTTCTGGCCTTCCCACCGGCCTGTTGAGGACGCTGTGAAAGGCCCTCGAGCTTTCAGGGAGCGTTTGCGAAGGAAACAATGTCCTACCTGACAGCCCACGGGCTGGACAGTGCCCACGCTCTAATAGTTTCTCTGCTTGTGTTGCGACCAAGCTAGGTAAGGGTGTCAGGGGCACAGGTGAACGGACGCCAAGTGGGCGGAGACCAACGTGAGCGCCGCCAAACACGGTCCAAGGGGGCCGGAGGGAGTCGAGAGCCCCGGAGCCCGAGGAAGGAGCAACGCCGGCCGGGAAAGAAGCCGTGAGAGCGTTTTTCAAGGCACGTCACTCAAAAACAGAAGCGAGCCGGCTTGAGGTCCACGCCCACGGCTTCCATCACGGACAACACAGGAGGTAGGCCCAAACTGCCTTACCTCAAACAGCCGGGACGGATGAGTTCGCGGTACTCCTTTGACACGCTACTTCCGGCGCTGTGGGATGACGTCACCAAACTGGCGAGCAACGATGTTCGTCACCAGTGCCTGCCATCAGATTGGCTGAGTGTCTCGCCTAACGCCCGCCCCTATTGGTCCCTCAGGGGGGCGTGGTCCAAGCGTGGTTCCTGGGAGTTCCCCAGCGTCTCTCCCCCGAGAGCCGCTCCCGGGCCACCGCCAGCGCCTGAGTCGGGAGACGTCGGGCTGCTAACCCTGTGGCCGTTTCCAGGCAGCGTGCGCCTCTGGACACTCCCTTCATAAGGAGAAACTCACAACCTTTATTAAGGCTAAATATTCAAATAAAATGTTTTAAATTTTTCATGAGGAACTTGAGCATGTTTCTGTGAATATTACCTTTTTGACATTAGGTTTCATGATTAAATAGATATATAATTTCTGATTTAAATTTTTTTTCATTTTTTAAATTTTATTTATTTAATTCTTCATTGTTGAAAGTATTACATGTCATTTTTCCCCCCATTGACCTCTCCCAGTCTGCTCCTCCACCCCGCCTCCCCAGCACAGGTCCTCAACCCCCTATTGTCTGTGCCCACCTTCCCCTGCCTTCCCTCTGAGGTTTGAGCATCTGATCGATGCTTCTATGTCTCTGGATCTATTTTTGTTCATCAATTTATGTTGTTCATTATATTCCACAAATGAGTGCGATCATGTGATATTTATCTTTCTCCGAATGGCTTATTTCACTTAGCATAATGCTCTCCAGGTCCATCCATCCTTTTGCAAATGGTAGGAGTTCTTTTTTACAGGAATGTAGTATTCCATTGCATAGATGTGCCACAGGTTGTTTTTTTTAATATTTTATTGATTTTTTTTACAGAGAGGAAGGGAGAGGGACAGAGAGCTAGAAACATCGATGAGAGAGAAACATCAGTCAGCTGCCTCCTGCACACCCACCACTGGGGTTGTGCCTGCAACCAAGGTACATGCCCTTGACCGGAATCAAACCCAGGACCCTTCAGTCCGCAGGCCAGTGCTCTATCCACTGAGCCAAACCGGTCAGGGCCACAGGTTTTTAATCCACTCATCTGCTGATGGGCACTTAGGCTGTTTCCAAATCTTAGCTATTGTAAATTGTGCTGCTATGAACATAGAGATGCATATATTCTTTCTGATTGGTGTTTCTGATTTCTTGGGATATATTCCTAGAAGTGGGATTACTGGGTCAAATGGAAGTTCCATTTTTAATTTTTTGAGGAAACTTCATACTCTTTTCCACAGTGGCTGCACCAGTCTGCCTTCCCACCAGCAGTGTACAAGGGTTCCTTTTTAAAATATATATATTTTTATTGATTTCCAAAAGAAAGGGAGAGTGGAGAGATAGAAACATCAATGATGAGAATCATAGATTGGCTGCCTCCTGCACACCCCCTACTGGGAATCGAGCCCACAACCTGGGCATGTGCCCTTGACTGGAATCAAACCCAGGACCCTTCAGTCCGTAGGCCGACATTCTATCCACTGAGCCAAACCAGCTAGGGCCCTTTTTCTCCACATCCTCGCCAGCACTTGTCATTTGTTGATTTTGATGATAGCCATTCTGACTGATTAAAAATTGTTAATAATCTTTTCAAATTCTTGATAGTCGTATCTATAATTGGTACACCAGTAGAGTTCCACATCATAGTGTAAACATGCTAATGTATCAACTATAACCTATAATTTAAAAGCTTCCATCTATAATTTACACATTATTGTTTTCAACTCCTGC